GGGTTCCTGTCAATCTTGTTATATAAGGCACAGAGTCAAAAGTTCTGATATTTGGGATAACCTTCTAATCCTAACACAGGTCTTATTTCCAGAGGGTTCCTGTCATCTTGATATATAAGGCACAGAGTCAAAAGTTCAACCTGCTAAATCCCACTGTAACAAAGGAATTATTTCCAGAGGGGTTCCTCTCATTCTTGATATACAAGGCACAGAGTCAAAAGTTCTGATATTTGGGATAACCTTCTAATCCTAACACAGGTCTTATTTCCAGAGGGTTCCTGTCATCTTGATATATAAGGTACAGTGTCAAAGTTCTGATATTTGGGATAACCCTCTAATCCTAACACAGGTCTTATTTCCAGAGGGTTCCTGTCAATCTTGATATATAAGGCACAGAGTCAAAAGTTCAACCTGCTAAATCCCACTGTAACAAAGGAATTATTTCCAGAGGGGTTCCTGTCAATCTTGATATATAAGGCACAGAGTCAAAAGTTCTGATATTTGGGATAACCTTCTAATCCTAACACAGGTCTTATTTCAAGAGGGTGCCTGTCATCTTGATATATAAGGTACAGTGTCAAAGTTCTGATATTTGGGATAACCCTCTAATCCTAACACAGGTCTTATTTCCAGAGGGGTTCCTGTCAATCTTGATATATAAGGTACAGTGTCAAAGTTCTGATATTTGGGATAACCCTCTAATCCTAACACAGGTCTTATTTCCAGAGGGTTCCTGTCATCTTGATATATAAGGCACAGAGTCAAAAGTTCTGAAATTTGGGATAACACTCTAATCCTAACACAGGTCTTATTTCCAGAGGGTTCCTGTCATCTTGATATATAAGGCAAAGAGTCAAAAGTTCTGATATTTGGGATAACCCTCTAATCCTAACACAGGTCTTATTTCCAGAGGGGTTCCTCTCATTCTTGATATATAAGGCACAGAGTCAAAAGTTCTGATATTTGGGATAACCCTCTAATCCTAACACAGGTCTTATTTCCAGAGGGTTCCTGTCATCTTGATATATAAGGTACAGTGTCAAAGTTCTGATATTTGGGATAACCCTCTAATCCTAACACAGGTCTTATTTCCAGAGGGGTTCCTGTCAATCTTGATATATAAGGCACAGAGTCAAAAGTTCTGATATTTGGGATAACCTTCTAATCCTAACACAAGTCTTATTTCCAGAGGGTTCCTGTCATCTTGATATATAAGGCACAGAGTCAAAAGTTCAACCCGCTAAATCCTACTGTAACAAAGGAATTATTTCCAGAGGGGTTCCTCTCATTCTTGATATATAAGGCACAGAGTCAAAAGTTCTGATATTTGGGATAACCTTCTAATCCTAACACAAGTCTTATTTCCAAAGGGTTCCTGTCATCTTGATATATAAGGCACAGAGTCAAAAGTTCAACCCGCTAAATCCTACTGTAACAAAGGAATTATTTCCAGAGGGGTTCCTCTCATTCTTGATATATAAGGCACAGAGTCAAAAGTTCTGATATTTGGGATAACCTTCTAATCCTAACACAGGTCTTATTTCCAGAGGGTTCCTGTCATCTTGATATATAAGGCACAGAGTCAAAAGTTCAACCCGCTAAATCCCACTGTAACACAGGAATTATTTCCAGAGGGGTTCCTCTCATTCTTGATATATTTTGTGAATGAAAATTTTCCATGTTAAATATGTATTGTCCCATGCTAAATACCAAAAAAACATAAAAATATTTTTTGGAAATAACTTGCCAATTTTGAAGTAACATAAAACATAGAAATAGTGTATTTAAAAAATGTCTACCCATCGGTTTACAGCGAAAAATGATAGAAACACTTCCAGTCACTGGAACTTGAAGTGTTTTATTATTTTTATTATATTTTTTTGGTTTAAAAATCAGGGTAAATATTTTTTTAATTCAATAATTTTTATACACAAGTTTTGTATGCTATTGCAATACGAGCAAGTTTATTTCAAAATAATTTTTTATGATTTTTTGACATTAGCAAGGGACAATACATCTACAGTATGTAGGGTTCTCACCAACATTTTGGAGTGGTGGTCAGCGACCATGCCCACCCCAGGGGGGGCGTGGTCGCCGACACCACCCATCGCCCTTCGTAGTTGTAGCTATATGATTGGACGTACACATGAATCTGTGATTTACGAAAATCAAATCTTTCCAAAAAATACAAGCTTGATCAAAACAAATATTTGTAAAAACAAAGGAATTTCTACTCAATATTGAACAACGCACGGATTGAATCGATGGCAAATCAACACACATGGAGAACTGTCTCTTATACACATCTAGATGTGTATAAGAGACAGATTATTAATTCATGCTAACTCAACAAATAGGATCTTCTCAGACATACTTGAAACTCATTTATATTACTTTGTATCATTATTTCTAACAAACTCAAAATATTCTTCGTTGACAGTATGGATTACCGTACTCGCGCGAATAAGCGCCCGGGCGCTTAAAATATTTTTTTGCACTTTTTGAGGGGCGCTTATTGGAACGGGGCGCTTATGAAAACAGTGGAAATTGAGGGGGCGCTTATGGAAATAGATGGAAATCGAGGGGTTCTTATGGGAACTTATTAAATTCAAGAGGCACTTTTTGAATGAAAAATTAGGCCTATTATATAAAAACATTACGAATGGTGGTGCGGCGGAAAAGATAATCCTCCAGAAAACATGGCTCATGACAAAAATGCTGTGAATATTTACATAACAGCAGAATAGTCACTAACCAAAAGAAAAAAAAAAACATTGATAGTTGATTAGAAAGAAAGACCATGCTGTTTTATGTAGTGAGCACGTGTACTGATGCTGATGCAGAGGTGGATGCAAAGAGCGGGAGTAAACAGCTTCGCTGAAGTCGTGAGTAGACAACAATTAGGTATATTTCCAAATCTGTCGCTGTTTTTGAAATGTTAACAAAATTGAAATACATACCAACTTAGAGTATGTTTATTAACAAATAGTAATTACAATTTAAAGCCTATTTGCAAAAACAAACCTCCGAGGTTCATGCAACCTAATTTGGGGTTTCCCCATGTGCGTTGATTTGACTTCGATCATGTGTTGCTCAATAAAGAGCAACAATACTAAGCCTACTAAGCCTTCGCCTTGCAGTAGGGTTTCAAATTAATGTTACCACTGAGACGTTAATTGATATATTTTGTGTTTTATCTAATGTAGCAAGTCTAGCCAATGAGTTGTTAATCAACAACTCCGTCCGATCGTTATGGAAGTATTTTGTTAGCCTACGTTTTTTTCCACTATCAATTGTAAAAATAGTGGTGGTCGGCAGCCTAAAAATACTGGTCGGAAGTGTTGAGCATTGGACGGGCCGACCACCACCGACCAGTGTGGTGAGAACCTGGTATACTGTATATATATACTGTATTTACTTTTACTCTAAACATGTTGCCAATAATTTTAGCCATCACTGGAAAAATTATACCTGGCCATCTCGTAGGCACAAGATCTATTCAATGTTTGTGTCTTATTGTATTTTATAGTACTGTATTTTTAATGCATATAATTTAATTTTCTCTTACATATTTATCTCAAGGTCTGGGGAAAACAGCTACAGGCTCATCGACAGCATCAGGTACAACAAAGTAAGTTGCTATCTCATATTTATTGCACATATTTACATGATTTTTGATATATAATAAATACCAACATTAGAAATGTATTTACTATCATCGCTCACATTGCAAACTAACACAATCAAAGTAAGTAAGTAAGTAAGTAACTTTATTGCTTCTCTTTTATAACAGAGGCACAGCCGTAAAGACGTGCAACAATAACAAAATCAGTAAAAACTTAATTACTGTGATTAAATATAGTAAGAAAATACTGCGGTAGAACGAAATATAAATAAAAAAAGGGCTTACAAAAATAGTAATAGAGATAAAAATAAATACTAATAATATAAGTAAGTTGGTTAATACATCACTTATACACACATACATATACACATACACACAAACATATATATACACATATACATACAGCATACACACACACATACACACATATATATATATATATATATACACACACATATATATATATATATATATATACATACATACACACATATATATATATAAATATATATACATACACATATACATACATATATGTATACACACACACACATTCACACATGCTAACATATACATACATACATACACACACAATACATACATGCATAGACGCACACACATACACACACCCCTCCCACACACATATTCACACATACATACATACATATACACATACATACACAAACACATACATATATACATATAACAGAGTAAATATTGTAAATTTAATTCAATAACATTAAAACCAGTAGATTGTGTTAGTTCGTGAAATCAGAGTAACGCGTCAAAATGAGCAAGTATTGGTTGTCAAGCACTATTGTATTCTTTACCACACAAAAAGTCGTTATCAGCAGCGCATATTTTGACACACTTTCTTGACCACAATCTACTTTGATTGTGTTCGTGATGTGAGTGACGATATGTTTCTTGTGCATTATTGTTAGAATAAAAAATATTGTTGTAACAAAAATTGTTTCTTTAATTGATATAGACAGTAATAGAACTTTTTACATTACATATTTGTATTCTTGGTATATTTTATTCAATCACATTTAAAATTCAAAAAATAGCAGCACAGGCTGAATTAAAATTGAATGTACAGAACAAATTTTCTCAACGTCTGGGCATGCTGAGACTAACTAAAACCATTATTATTAAAACCATGTGCACTGGGCGAGACAAACAATTAGAGAGGGAGTTAACATATAACATCGCATTATGTTTAGTCCTACAGTTTCCACAATGAATTATAGGGAGTTAACATATAACATTACATTATATTTAGTTCTACAGGTCCCACAATGAATTATAGGGAGTTAACATATAACATTACATTATGTTTAGTTCTACAGGTTCCACAATGAATTATAGGGAGTTAACATATAACATTACATTATGTTCAGTTCTACAGGTCTCACGATGAATTATAGGGAGTTAACATTTAACATTACATTATCTTTGGTCCTACAGGTCCCACAATGAATTATAGGGAGTTAACATGTAACATTACATTATCTTTGGTCCTACAGGTCCCACAATGAATTATAGGGAGTTAACATATAACATTACATTATATTTAGTTCTACAGGTCCCACAATAAATTATAGGGAGTTAACATATAGCATTACATTATGTTTAGTTCTACAGGTTCCACAATGAATTATAGGGAGTTAACATATAACATTACATTATGTTTAGTCCTACAGGTCCCACGATGAATTATAGGGAGTTAACATATAACATTACATTATGTTTAGTTCTACAGGTACACAATGATTTATAGGAAGTTAACATATAACATTACATTATCTTTGGTCCTACAGGTTCCACAATAAATTATAGGGAGTTAACATATAACATTACATTATGTTTAGTCCTACAGGTCCCACAATGAATTATAGGGAGTTAACATATAACATTACATTATGTTTAGTTCTACAGGTCCCACAATGAATTATAGGGAGTTAACATATAACATTACATTATCTTTGGTCCTACAGGTCTCACAATGAATTATAGGGAGTTAACATATAGCATTATATTTTGTTTGGTTCTACAGGTCCACAATGAATTATAGGGAGTTAACATATTACATTACATTATGTTTAGTCCTACAGGTCCCACAATGAATTATAGGGAGTTAGAGGAATCAATCAACAAGTGGACAGTAGAGCTTGAAGAACAAGAAAAAATATTCCTGCAACAAGCCACACAGGTGAATGGTTGGGACAGGTTACTGGTTGAAAATGGTGAAAAGGTAAGCATTCCCACCAAGCCACTTTGAATCCACAATTATGCAACCAGTTTGTGTCATTTTATAGCTAAACATGGCTGAGTGTTCCAGTGTACTTCATAATACAAATATCAATGTATGTCACATGGGAATTTATAATTCAAATAAGAAACAGCATTTAATTTTACTTAGTAAATAATTAAGTGTCATTTGTATTGCCTTTTATCTTTTCTGTGCACATTGTGTTAACCTGTGCACAATGTACTGAAGTTACTGAACTTGCATCATTATTGAAATTTATTCATCTGGTTTGAAAAAATATAAATTTGAATACAATTTCATAATTATTGTTTTTCAATAGATTACAAGTTTACACAATGATGTCGAGAAAGTCAAGACAGATCAGCAAAGGTAATTTTAATTTTAAAAATTCTGCTGAAATGAAGTGCTAGTTTGTAAATTGTGTTGGAGCTATATGCAAAATGAACATTGTGGAAGTAGAATTTGTTGGATAGGCTAGCTAGATATCATTTTCACTAGAGCTCTTATGAATACTGTTTCAGCGAGCCCCTAACTTTAGGACCTTTAAAGTGCTGGAGAACAGAGCAGTGAAAATGATTCTTCTGCCATTTATGCCGTTTTTTTCGTTATTAGTTCTCTTTTTATTATTAGGATATTTCATGGTTATGTTTCTTAATTTTTATAATTTTTTTTTTTTGATGTAAAGCGCATCGGGGCAACTTTCTTGTATTATGCGCTATATAAGACATT